CTAATTTAGGAACATTTGGCCAATTCGCGAATCAAATCGATCGAAATTAATTAATATTACAAAACAATAAAATAGGTTTCATCATATGTAATAAATTATTAATAAAATAATAATAATAAAATAATTTAAAAGAAAACAGTTAGCTGAGGGCATATAAAAATATTTTTCTCAAAAAAAAGAAAAAGGACTTGGAGAAAAAATTGAAGAAAAATGAGAATGGAAGTGAAAAATGGGTGTGGACAAGCGAATTTAAAAAATCCGCTTAGGGCTAAAAAATTTTAAGTTTCCATTTTTCAATAGCTTCGTTTTAAATTGTCGTATAATAATGTTATTTGCGTGATTTTTTTTGGATCAACGTAGGACTTTTTGAGCTTTTTTGCGCTCTAATGGATTATTTGTCCCATCCAAAAAGTTTTAAATGTGATGTTCAGCAATTCAGCGATCTCACTGGATTTCGGATAAACAAATCGATCTAGCAGATTACGTCGAAAATCGACAAACATTAATAAAGGTGGAACTCTTTCAATATATATATATATATATATATATATCCACGAGTGAAAAGAAAACGTAGCAAAAAACGTAGAAAACGTCAGTATCAGTGTAAATTCAGCAAGATCGCTGTTGTAAAATAGTATTCCAAAAAGTAGGCCAAAGGTTAATGGTAGATAAATGTTTATAGTAGGTAATAGGTTGTAGTAGGTAAATGTTTATTAATAATATTTATATTTAACAATATTTAATATTTAATATTTTGCTAGACGACCCAAGCATTTAACAAAAAACTGAATATGAAAAGAAGAAAAAAGCCACAACTTGCATCACTTAATGCAAATTTTGTTGAAAATTTCAATCTTATCTGCAAATGAGATGAAAAGCATCGAAGAGCAAAATCGCATTAGCTTAATTAATGGTGTTTGGCTGAGAACTGAAATAATCGATGCTTATGCTACTATCATTTCTATCTTATTTAGGATTGCGCTTGGGTTTTCCTCGAGTTTGAATCGCACGAACATAATTATATATTGAAAGAAATGTTTACTATTTTTTCATCACCCAATCATTTTTGTTTTCGCTTGCTCCACTGACTACTGGGGCGATACCTCCATCAAACAGCTTGAAACCTTTTATTAAGATTGTAGGGTTAAGGCTCAGAATCGAAATCGAAATTCCGATGGTTTGTTCTTAAATGAAGTAGCATGCTATTGGTCAATTATTATCAAATGTATACCTTATTTCCCCAGTTTTTCCATAATCTATCAAATTTTCAATCACAATGAATTTTCTGGAAAGGATATCTGCAACACGGCGATTTCAAGATATAATGCCAGAAAAAAACTGATAAAATACATGATTAAATTAATTAATCAAATTAAAAAGAATGAAAAAGAGAATCCAGTAAGTTTTTTATTTTATTAGCACCGTAATAAAAAATAATTCTGAAGGTAAGGTATTATTAATGGAATTTTTAGTTCAAACAAAAATGTGATGTAAAAAAAGATTCAATTTTTAGCTAATTATATTGATTATTGCAAATACTGCCAACGATCGAAAAAAACCACTCCTAAAATTCGGAATGAATTCTGCTTTTATGGAGCAAAAAATCACTTAAAGCAGCGAATTCCAATATTTAACGGAGAAAAATGGGATATTTCCACATTTTAATATATATTACTCCTGGCGTTTAATGCATTCATGAATTGCTTTAGAATAAAATTTTCTTACTAAAATTTCACGCTTACAAAAATAGCTGGCAACAATTGAAGTTCAAATTGAAGCAATAAAAAGTTAAAAATCCGTCATATGAATCAACTAACTTTTCTTTAAATAAATGTACTGAATTTCCTAATGCATCATTTTCTGATCGCGTTGGATAGAGTATTCTTGGACGATTTATTGCCTGTGGAAATGCTGAACTAGCGAATGAAATTGGATTTCTGTGGTTCTGGAACAGATAATTGTAAAAAAAATAAATAAATAAAATTAAGCCGAAAAAACGTAAAAAGTAAATAATAAACTTACTGCAGCGTTCATCTTGCTCATTTTTGATGGCAACAAATCGACCACGATCTTCGCATTGGTCAAATCCTCATTAGGCTCATGAATCAAAGGCATTCTCCTAAAATAAAAATAAATGGAAAATAAACAAACATAGAAAATAAAAAATAAGGCAATAGTAGAGTATTTATCAAGAATGCTTAGAAGAGCCGAAAGTGATCAAATAATCAAATAATATCATATTAGTCGGTCACTTTTATTTTCTATTAGAAAGCAATAAAAACAATAATTTAACGCAAACTTACCATTATACATTTAAAAAAAACAGTCGATATATATATCAAATCTTAATGAAAAGGTGGAAGATTTGTTTATTTATAAGAAATATCACTGATAATAATAATAAAATGATAATAAATGAGAGAGTTCATTACTGGTTAACTCGCTCCACTGGCTTGTCACATTGAGCAATATGCCAGAGGTCGATAGAAATACAGGTGAATCACCCGGATTTTTGTACAGGTTTATTTCTGCAGGAAATCGAACCTCAGCACCGAGCTCCCAATCGAGCAACAACCCACTGAGCCATTCTATCCCCCATATAATTGATAATAGACGAATGCAATTCTATATTTTTAAGTTTTATTTTTTATTTTTTCTCACATGGTTTTACTGATCTTCATACCGTATGCATTAATATTATGGCGATAAAAGTCATAATGAATTACGCTGGTTAGGCCACGTTCTTCGCCTCTTATCATAGAAATTAACGCATATTTCATTACTTATTAAGCCATCAAAACTTGGACTAGTATAATTAAAAGAATTTTGAACGTATAGCTGGCTCAGCGATATATAGGATTAGACGATAGAAAAAAGCAGTGGCTTCAGTGGCCTAAAGAAATGACGTCGGATCGAGGGGCTTGGAAATGCTTTACCCATGCAGCCAGCAGCATCAATCTAATCAGTAATGGTGCGACTGTTAATAGAAGAAAAATAAATTTATGATTACGATTATATATTTAATATGAGTTCTTTATCCAATCCAATTTCAAGAGAGTAAATCATTAGAAATAAAATAGGGAGTTATGCCGATCGAATTTAGTTGGGTGAGAATTCGGCAAGAAACACTGAAGAAACTATGAAAAAACTATGACCTAAAACCAGCTTCTTAGACAAGACAAGATAAAAATTTATCACCAACTCGAGCACTGCTCCTAAAAATATTTGATGTCGAATGCACCAACATTTTTTTTCAATTATTCAATTATTTTTTAATTATTTTTTCTAATTCATCAATTGAATTTGTCTTTCTACTGAATTATTATGATTTATAAATGCATTGAAATCACGGCTCGTATATATTTATCACTTCGATTGACCCTAATCATAGTGACAGTATAAATTTACGGTTAATTCACAATTTGTTGATTGAAAAATTTGTAGATTTAAATTTAAATTTATTGTTGAAAAAAAATAAATAGACGTTAAAGAGGGTATTATTATGGGTTTTTTTGTTCACCTATCAGAGATTTTGATCGAACCCATTGAATTCGTTTTCTTATCCAGATTCAGTGGAAAATTGAGATTTTATAGATTATGATAAAATATTTAAAAGCCAATAAAGGGATAAAGGGATAAAAATGGATAGAGATAAAAATACAAATTTGAACATTGAAAGAATATTCCCGCAGATTTTCTCACCGGATAACTGAAAAATTCTTTTTTGAAATCAACCAATTCCTTAAAGTCTTCGAAAAAGATGAATTTGAGAATTCCTCAAAATTTTTTAAATAATGAAAATAAAATTATTATAAGCTATGATTTTAAGCTTCTTTTTTTTGTGAAAATGAAAAAATAAATTGTTTCGACTGAGAATGAGCATCATAAATTTGGTTCTTGTTTTTTAACTGGAGTATATCCGCTGATTATTCTAACCCACATTCTATAATGGTTCTTTGGCAAAAAGACAAAAAATATACTGTCTTCGTTTATATTACAATACTGTTTTAACAAAAATACTTAATTTCTTTGATATCAACAATTCTAATTATTTTTATCATTCTTGCCAAAAAATTTCCGACTGAAGTTATTAAATCGTACCATAAGTGGGGTATTCGTTAAGTATGTTCGTTTCAGTAAATGAGCTGTTAGCGCTTACCACTTCTAGCTAAGCTATCATTAATTCGAGTAAAAACAGCTCACTCAGCGACAAAAATATTGATGATTAGCACTACATGGAATTTTTAATATTCTGTTTCTGCTGGGCTGGACGAATCAAGTCTTTGTCGTTGGCCGCATATTGAAGCAGGCACACCACTTGTTCTATATGAACCAAATATGTGGAAAGATTCAAATAACGAATTTTTTTTTATTACCGAATGTTTGTCTATGCGATAAGGCTCTGGTTCCGAAGACTGCGAGAAGGCTCGAGTTTTGCACGACTTAACTTTTGCTACCCATCCATAGGTTTAATGTCTCCAAAGTATAAGGGAGCGCTATCAATTTCTTTAATAAATTGGAGGGCATCAAAATCCTTATCATTTCCTATCCTAATGACCCAAATTAAACTTTTAATAGACCAGTGATAGATTATAATTTCCAAGGACATAAATTTTATCAAAATTATCAATTTTCAAAACGAAATTTGGAAAGGTGACCATTCAAACAAGATTGACAAGCGTCAACTAATGAAAGCCATTTTATTTTAAAGATGATTGAGCAACAATTATAATTTTTTGCTTTCCTATGGCCTTGAGCTTAAAAAAAAAAGTAAATCATTATGAAGATTCATAAAAATAAAATTTCCACTTAAAAATAACTTCAAATTCATTCTTTTCGAAATAATTAAAATAATAATACTAATGCAAATATCAACTGATGTTGCTGGGCCAATCAAAATAAAGAAGTCCACCAAGAGCCATAAAAGAAATGGATTCGTGGAACAAGGTTTGGAATAATCTGGCCACTGAATTCTGGCAAAAATATGGAAAATAAAAGTTTTAAAGCAAAAGAAACCTGAAAACAGGTGGCGGTTCACTACTGTCCTTTTGTTTGCGACCATTCTGTAATTTATTTTTCCATTTCTGTAGACGATAGCTGCTACCTTGTGTGAAATCAACTAATCCTTTACTAAGACGATTGGTGAACGATTCGCCAGCATTATCAAATCTTGACGTTCGTGATGTAACATTTTTCAGTGGAGATTCTGAGCGTCGATTGTAGAGTTGAACTGGTGACGTTGAAATTTGCCTGTTAGCGGAAAAGTTTGGGGTCATTTTCGGCATTGTTAATGATTGAAAATCAGCTTCTGGTTTCATTCTATTGAATAAAAGTGGGATAGAAAATCCGTTGCTCTGTTGGTTTGTTAACAATACTTCCGTTTGTTTATTTGGTGATAAAATAGAGAATTCGTTGGATCCTTCAAGAGCGCCGTTGTTCATTTTCTTGTGCTAAATCATATTTTATTCAAAAATATCTTTTAAATCTGTGACACTTTGGTTTGTTTTTTTGGAAATTTTCAGTCGAATTGTATTTTTATCATCATTTATCATTCATTACCTTAAATTCTATTAAGGAAATATATGTATGTAACACATTCTTTTTTTACTTTACTATGATTATGTAGATGAAATAGAGAGTTGAAAATTAATTTCGAGATCATACAATCTTGTTCAAAGCTTCAAAAATCTCCCTAAAGAATAAAGTAAATAAAAAAGGCGAATTTCCGCAATAACAGTGGTGTCATAACTAGTTCTACTAATTTCAGTTTTTTTTTTAAGAGCCTTCCCAATTGCTGGTTAGACTCGCTCCGTTTATCCCACTAAATAAATATGCCAGAGAGACCTTTGGCGATATAAATTAGGCAAGTATCATTCTGATTTTTGTAGATTTCCTGCGGAGAGTAGATCTTCACCATCAGCGCTCGGAATTGAGCAATAACTAACTGATTCATCCTATCTCCTATTGATTTCAGTACCCCAGATTAAACGATATTTACCAACTTTTTCACACACTGATGGAATCACATTGATTTGGCCAAGAGAGACGGTGGCCGATAATGCAGCATACTGGGGGTCGTCAAGTACCATGGTTTCGTTCTCTTGTTTCGTTATGTACTTTGCTTTCTTGAATCTAAAATTGGAAAAATAGATTTAAAAAAAATTAAAAACAAAAGAAACGAAAAAATTCAATTAAATAATTAAATGTGGATATTGAATTCCTTTCATAACCAAAAAGACAAAGGGATTAAAATTTTTTCTAAATATTCTGTCAAAAAAAAGCAATATTTGTGAAAAAAATCAATCATATAATCAGAGCAAAAATATCTTATATAGGATTTTAAACAAAATCCTAAATAAAGGGTCTGACAATTTTACGAAGGCAAAAAATAAGGGGAATAGAAAAAAACGACCTACAATTTTATCTATATAGCTTTTTGGCAATAATTTTGATTGATTTTTTAAGTTTATATGAATTACAATATGCATTAGAATAAAGCGAATCACTTAAGAATTAAAAAAGAAATTTTATATCAAGAGGAAACTTTTTATTAAGGCTTAAAATGTAGGGGTAATGAGGTTTAAGTGATTAAGTGATGAGGGTTATAAGAATATGATAAGAATTTTCAGAGCATGCTGGATGATAAAAAAAGAAAAGAGGAATAAAAAAAAGAGTTAGAGTTTAGACTTTAGAGTTTCCAAGGAATGAAAAGCAAATGGCAAAGTTGGTCTAACCCATCCTGTACTGTTACAAACCGATTTTTAATGGATTTTACTTTAGTAGCCAATGGCCAAACCAGGAATTTGAGCAGTTAAGAAAAGATCTCTCAAAACTAAGAATGAAGGTAATAATCCGTGGAAACAATGTTTTGCAAATTTTCGATCGCCATTCTTAAACATTATTCTTTTTTTTCTGCTGAAATTATTTTAAATATGACCTATAAAAAATCTTTTCTAACAAAATTTTTACATAATCAATGCATCTAAATGAAATTTTTTTTATAAAAAGAAACTCTAATAAGCGTTATTCACTGAAACATGAAAATCTAAATGAAGCTGCGATTCTAAAAAATTTGAATTAAGAAAAGGAAAATTATGATATCTGATCGCTAAAAAATTTCATTGAAGAATGAATTTTACAGAACGAATATACAAATTTTATGGTGGTCCAATTATTGCCTACATTATATATAAAGAAGGATGGATCTAATCTGTCAAAATTTCTGGCAAACTTTTTTCAATACTTCTTTCAAGACTATGCTGGCACGTGTATCCTCAGAGTTCATCATTTTGCGCTACATTTTTCCTGTTATCTTTCCATTGTTTCGAGCTCTGTAATAAAAGCTCTACAATCATCATTTTGTCACTTTGTGCCTTAATACTCAACAATCCTTCCACTTTAGTCCACTTAAGAAACAAATTTTCTGGTCTTAATTTTTAAATTTTTTCAAAAAGTATAGCCGAGAGAGATAAATTTACCAAAAAAACCGACACATTTTTTCGCCTAATTTTTATATTGGACTTAACTGAATATCACTATGAAAATTGCAAATTATAAATTACGAATAAAATATTAATTAAACAAATTAACAAATAGAAAATTTAAAATAATTGGCAATGAAAATTCCCGCTATCTCGGTAATGCATGATATGACCTGATAATTAATCACTTTCTTACGATATTAATAGGTCAAAGTTTATAAAATTTATTCAATAAAATCCAATTCTTCATTGGATTTCCCAATGTTCTACGACTGGTACTATGGTGATACTACCAATTATGAGGATATTACAATATTAAAAAAATATCCTAACTATACGAATTGTCACTACAAAAGACGTGTAATAATGATGTATAGACTATTTGGTACTTGCAAAATTTGACCAGTTTTCTGGTGATTAGACCCACCTCATTAATAACTCTCCAATGGTTCGCTTATTTCAAGTGGGATATATTTTTATGAAATTCTTTTCGACCCTTTAGTCCAAATAAATTATTTCTCATAATTCATAGCTGCTAATTTTGGATTTGAAAAAAAAGTATTGAGGTCAAATAATGCAAATTTTAAAACAAAAGCTTTTGACTGATGAAATTCGAAAAAAAGGCGAATCACATGAAAACTTTTTGATATTTATATTTGTTTGATAACAGATGACTTGGATCTCATCCTCGTTGATATTCTTCCCTTTATGTATCCAAAATAAACAACCAGGAAATATGGAAACCATTTGTTCGAAAGAGCATAAAGAAATGAAAATAAAAAATTTAATAAATTTATAAATTTAATAAAAAATTTTAAGAAATAACTCAAAGCTAAATAATTGAGCATTACCAAATATATAACCCAATTCGGTCGGATAATTAAAGAAGAAAATCGCTAGGCGAATGGATTTGCAGTCGTATTCAAGAGTCCGCTTTCAAGGTACACACTTGGCTACAAACTTTAATTTCACATAGCGAGCTTAAATAAATTTCTACAATTCTAAGATTTTAAATAATGTGATAAATGATAGAAGTTAAAACTGATGTTCTTTAAAAACTGATGACAAGATTTATGAATAAAAAAAAATTTTTCCGTTTCACTCTGTGTTGTCCGTTTTCCGGTTTAAAAACTCATGTTTCCAGAAAAACCGCATTTTTCTCTCGCCCAATATTTTCTCTACAATAATAAGTCCACTTTTCAGAAAGCACGATAATCAAGCCATTTGGTGTTCACTTTGTCGATCAAAAATCTGAGGTCCCGATCGCACCTCCGATAGAAACAAAAACTTCTCATTAATGCAGATGGAAATGTCAACCAAAATCTATAGTCAAGCAATAAAGGCCAGCGTACCGAGTCTAACCAGAAATGGTGGTTAAAAGTAACCACTTTATAAAGTCCCGTTTAATGAGAAACAAATTAATTAGAGACTTGTTCACTAGAAAAATCATAAATCCAATGTTTAGTGAGTTTTAAACGGTGAAAATTTCGAATAAAAATTAAGTAACGAAGATGGATTAAAATTAAGACGAACATATAGAAGAAATTATGTGAAAGCATCTGAATTCAGTTCAGTAATTCCATTCATAATACAATTTTACACATCGAACAAAGTGAATAAAATGTTACAGCTGCAGTAATTCCACTTTTGATAGCTGTGAGTCCATTTTGCTTTTATCATCTCAATAATTCATCGAACTAAAGTAAAGATGCGAAAAAAAGCAAACAATTCACACCAAATCCTTTTGCAAAAGACAAAATAGCATCGAAAATACTTGTTTAAATGTTTTGCAACGATATTAGCATCAATAAAGCATTCGTTCGATCGAGTTTTTTGAAGTAATACAACGCGAATTGATGAAATTTTTCGTGGTACAACATCGATTGATTTTGTTTCCCTAAATTAAATTCCATGATCAAATGATAAAGTGACAAGTGCATTTGGATAATAGATGACATCAATGCTGTGATTCATCGTTTAGTTTAACAGGGTTGTGATAAGTATTAAGATGATTAGCGAATAAAATATATAACGAATATACAACGAAAATATATAACGAATTCATGCTCAGGGAGGAATAAAAAATTCAGTTCATCGATTATTAACAACTATGAGTGAAATGTTGCCAGTTAAGAAATTAACAAATATAAGAATAAATCTAAAAATTAATAATTTTTTCTTTTCTATTTTTAATTAATTTCTCATCCTAAATTTTAAAACGAAAAAAAGGGCGAAATGCAAAATTGAACGAAATCAGAACTTTACTGATCTCTAAAAAAGTTTTCTATGATAAAGCATTTTTCCATTACTCATCCACTTATATGCAGGATTTTATTTATAGCAGTTTTTCTAGCTTTTTTCTGTCGTTATTTTCTTCTTCTAAAGCATCTATAGGTCCTCGTTTCTCGTTTAGCTGACTGCACTGGTTATTCGGTAGGTCCTTTGCCAGATAAATAGTTGAAATTAGCTAAAATTGAGCCCATTTTTTCAAGTCTATTTTCCTCAACAATAGAACCCATGATATATAATCTTAATCCTATCAATATGCTACTCTGCCTCGATGTATTATAAATTTAAAAAAACTTTTCTAAAAAACTTTCTATTCGGATGTGTAAAAGTTATGTGGATTTACCACCTGAATTTGACGTGAACCTCTAATTCCTAATGGATTTCTTGATTCTTCCATTAAGCTCCTTTCATTAATTCTTCTAGATGATTCAAATATTATAACTCCTTGAAAAAATAACTATGACAACAATCTTGCGACAACCTTCATATTAATGATACCTCACTTTAGTGTGAAAAACCATATGGCAGTACCTTCTTTTTTTTATATTGTCAAAGAACAAATCATTAGAACATACGATAAACCGCAGAAATAATTCATGGGAGAAAATCTTTTGTAATTGATAACAAATCCAAGAAAAATTGTGTTTTTTTTCTTAAGACTTTAAAATGTTTCATCAATTTGCACTATTTCACAAGTTATCAATGTCTTAGTGGCAAAATATTTGCCACCGAGAGTTGAAAATGACCAAGGTTCGAACTCTGCCTTTATCGGGCAGCAATGTCGTTGAATGATGAAGACAAAAGGAGAAAGGAGGATTCAATGCACAGTTTAAAGCTCTGATGTTGAACCCGATAAGAGTCAAAAATCTGGTTGACGATTCATTTGCAATTCTATCGTCAACTCCGACAAAATTTGCATCCGACAAATAGAGGAAAGAGTCTAGGGCTCTGAAGGTCCATAGAAAAAAAAAAATTGATAAATATTCTTATAAAAAAATTTTTTTGAAATTATTTTTAAAACTACTGGCTATGTGACTACTAGGATTCAGACTCTTTCGCAAGAGCGTCATTCAAGAATAGAACTACAAAAAGCCATCAGTTAAATTTCAGGTTTATTCATAGCAATGCGATGAAATCAAACCTGTGATGGACTGGTCTTAGCCAAAGAAATATACCACTTCTCTGTACCTGGTAAGTAAATAAAAAATAGTTGGTTGTTAGCATTTACCATTTCTCGCTCCGCTGACTGTTGGTGCAGTTAAAAATTTATAGCAGGGAATCATTTGGCTCCAGAAATATGGATGGTCCAGAACAACAAGGAGTCTTCATAACAAGTTTATGATGTATTCATGACCTATATGAGGCATATGAGGATAGACACCTATATGAGCTGAACCACAGACTCTCAAAGAAACAATCTGATCTATTAACCACTTAAATATTCTGCTCCTATCCTGTTCCTAGTGTGAATGGATTAAAGTTGAATCAAAAAAAAATCATCAATGAAAAGAAAAATACTATTTCCCCTTAAATAAATACTTTTTTCTTTTTCTCTCCCTCGCCATTGCTGGTTAGGCTGGTTCCACTGGCTACAGGAGTAAGACATCTTAAAGTTGCATCCGAGATCCGAAATGAATTCTCCAAAGTCATATTCCTTTTTTATCTGCAAATTCTTTTTAAAACTGGATACAGCACGAATTCATTAGCCCTACATATTGAACTCATTGTTAAATGTTAGCTAAAATTTCCACAGTTTCATTTAGAAGAAACGACTGAAGTATGTCAAGTTTCGGTAAGGGAAAAAAATAATAAGAAAAAAAGGAACGTATAAAATTGCAGTAGAAATCGAGATGTGGTAGTCGGATAAATAGTATAATAGCGGTACTCTTTTTTCTCCAAGCCAAGGCCATCGTTGATAGTGATAGAAGCCATTCCTTTTTCCATCGTCTAAGTCCATATATTGCTGGTTCACCTATACGTTCAAAATTTTTCCTAGCCCAAGTTGGCCCTCTTGTCTTTTTACACCATTCATCATAGGGTTTAGCAAGTAATAAAATATGTGCCAACTCCTGTGGTAGACGACAAAGAAGGTATCCTAGCGAATGCGACGCTCTGTGGTGATAGCACTAATGCAAGTGGTATTTGAGCGAAGATGGATGCAATCATATGAGATTCTATCCACTCGACGATCTCATGAAATATACCTTAGGCGAGTAATCTAAGGATGATAACTTCTTTATATGCGGTACTCTCATTGCTCACATAAAAAAGCAAGTGAAAACAAGAATATCCAAAAATCATTCGATTTTGCTATAAATATCTTAATTTTTAGAAATCGGAAGGAATGAATAATTTTTGATTGCAATAATAAAAGAATTAAACTTATTAATTAGTCAGTGGTCAAATATGAATTAAAGTGTGTAGGAACTTAAATTTAATTGCCAAAACGATTCAAAACGACAAAAGCAAATGAGTTCAGTTAGTAGTTTCAAATAGCTATTTAAAGAGAAAAGATTTACTCACGCTAATTGAGATAGAGCTTTGTTAAACAATTCCTCTTTAAGGGAGGTATTTTCTTTTACTGAATCGATTTGCAATTCAGCGGATTTTTTTTCCTTAAATGCTCCTGGATTTGTCTTATTCACGATGATTTGATCTGCATTTGTTTTTGAAAATTTTGGTTCACAAGATGGTTTGCCTTCTTTATTTTTTGATCGAGCTTGGAAGCAAATAACTTGATCGTAATCGCGTTGGATTTTTTTCATCGAATCGTTCGATGGAGAATATAAATTATCTGCATTTTGAAGCTTTTTCGTAGTTTCTTCACAAATCTGTTGTTCGATATTTGTTGTATTTACTTTAGCTGATGCCTTATTACTTGAGCATAGCTCCTCAGGATTATTTAAATTCCGACCAGATTTAGGCATAGAAGATCGGGATCCCATAGATGATAAATGAATAATAGGTATCGATAAGCGATCGCAATCCAACGATGGCGCCGCAGTTGAAGTTGCCAGAGATTTCGATGATTTTTCAGCTATTTGCTCATTGCATTGCTCTTTTCGAAATTCCAAAGTTTTTTCAGTAATCTTGTTAACATCCACTGATATTTCAATATTGCAACGTCTTTCTTCTTTTTTAGCTGTTTTTTCTGCGGGCAAAGCATTGATGGGCCCTGCTTCCTGATCGATCGATCTGTAAAGCTGTGTTGATAACTTTGGTTGTTGCTCGATTTGATTTGTGTTATCTGGGGAAGGTGCCGAAATCAGTGAAAATGCTGGTTTCTCACTCGATACTTCTCTGAAAAATTTACTTTGTTTAAATTTACTTAACAATAATCAGCATTATTGTTAAGCTATTGTTATTGCTTTAATATATACTGAAAAGTTAAGTGATATTTTCAACTTTTTCATCAGTTAAATACCACTATCAACATTTTTACACTCTTCGACATATTGTGCCGTATAAAATCTATTTGTGAATTTCAAGACAAATTCTCCAAGATAAATTAATAAACTTGTTTCTAATCTAAGAAAATAAAAATGAATAAATGTAAATCGGCATATTATGAATGAATTACAATTGCAATAATGTTTATAAGTAATAATGTTTATTTTAATACATATGTCAATCAAATATCACGCAAAAATTTGGCAATTTACAGCCTCTTAGAACCAATAGACCACCATGATAGTCGAATGGTGTTTTACTTCATTTATGAGTTCAAGTCTATGCTACGATGATTGGTATTGTCATTAGAAGCCTGATTAATGCTGAAAACCAATGCTCCAATACTCCTATCCACAATTATTTCTTTGTGAAAAGGGTCTGATGTTAGCCGGCAATTAGGCTTGCCAAACCAGTAATGGTATAGTGATCACTAAAGGCTCACAATAATTTTGCTATCAATACCATTTATTAACCAGTTTGATACCGATAGTCACTGCTCATGGAAAATAAGGCGGGTGGAAAATTTGTGATTTTCAAACTCATGTGATCACTTCAGTTGTAAATTGAGCGTTCTAAATACTGAATACAAATAATTACTCACTGGATTTTAAAAATTTGCAATTCAGCAAAATTTTGATTTTTCAGCTTGTGCATTCTGCAACATTAATTTTTGGCATTGTATAATCGAAACAGTTGAATGAACATTATTGAATTATTATATTGAGCATTCAATTCATATTTAATCTAAAAAAAACGATTTTTTCTAACTTGGAACCAGTATTATACGAAAAAGTACAAATAACTATAGAAATAAGCAGTTCTATCTCAGTTCTTTAAAATGATAAAAGGAATAACAAGATTAATGCTATAAAATTGATAGTTCAGCTGTTAAGATTAGGAGAATGGTGGGTTAAGGTTGAAAAATAATCTCCAGTGCTCACAGTGCATACGATATCAAATGCCTGGAATAAATCAGCTTACAATGCAATGAAATTTGTTTTTTTCTTGATTCTTTCAAAGAAAGATTCATCCAAACGCTTTGTAACCAAAATGTTCAAAGCAATATATCCTACTTTAGAAGGAACTGTTTTTAAGAAATTTGAGGAAATCGCAAAATTATTGGCTAATTTTAGTTGAATCAGTTGATCAAAATTTTTAAACAAAAATGATTAGTGAATATTATAAAAATAGGGTCAACTTTGCGTGATCAACTCTTTGATATTACAGGTTTTTGATTAAATATTTAATTTGGAAACTAAAGTATCTTATCAATTAGGCTTACTATATACTGAAAGGCAAAAGTAAGGGTAGTATTAGTTTCAGCCCATACTATATTTGCACATTCCCTTCTTTGCAATAAATCTTTTTTCAATATGGAGTCGTGAATCGTGGAGAGGAAAATATGATAATGATAAATATGATATTCAGAGAATTGACCACTTTCTCTGTTCACAATTGAAATGCAAAAATTATTAATATGGCTGATGCCGATTTATTATTCATGAAAAATGAGACGCAATATCCTAAAAAATTTTTTTGTCGAAATCAATCGCTATAAGTAAGTTAGAAAAATAATTAAGTGGCTCACCATTTCTGGTAGGGCTAACCCCATTGGCTATAAGTATGGTCAGAAATTTTCGTCAACGCTCGTTGGCATCACCTGAATTTTTTAGTGATAGGTTAGTTTCAAACAAAATCAGGAAGCGATTCCTTGCCTCGTTATAGGGTAACTCACTATCTACTCGCTTATACTGCTACTAACTATGATGAGTTTATCTATAAAACCACAACAATTTGAAAAGTACAATTCTGAAGGAAGTTTTTTTTATTTATTATAACTTTTAAAAAAAGGAGGAATTAGTGAGCTCAACAGCTGTTAGGGCTTTCAAAAATGTATTTCTTCAAGGTTTTCTTTCCAATTAACAATAGTTCCGACTCGAATCAATGAGAAAAGTTGATTTTGCTTGAAGCTAACAGTGAAAAGAACAATGGGAAATTCTAATTGATAATTGATAATAATAAGTTCCAAAATAAAAATGTTACAAATTTAAAAAGTGGGCCTGACAAACGGCAAAAAAACTACTGTGCTAAAAAAAGAAATTAAGGAATCTTCTGGCAACCAAAATTAATATTAAGACATATTTTAGAACTTTTTAAAAAATATATCCCAGGCCAATGAAATTTTGCAAAATTCAAGCAAATCAGCAGTTTTTTGGCATTTATTTTGCATAAGCAGAACGCAGAGAGAAAAATATTTCTGCCAGTTCAAAATGATGAGGTTTTCTTCAAATTAAGCCGGCATTAAAAATTTGCGTGAGCAATTTGCTATGCCATTTAGAAGCGAATCTGTTGCTAAAATTATTCGAAAATTGAAATGATAAAAAAAGCCAAACAGCTGCCGTATCTCCTCACATCGAGTAATCGATAGATTATTGAAGTGAAACGGAGTTTAAACGGTAAAAATGAAAATTATAGAAGAAATCTTTTACCAATTTTATGCAATGAAATCATTTTTTTATCATCTTTTTTTAATCGCTCAATTTTTCTTCAAATTTTCTTCAAATTTATAAAATTTTCTTCTTCTCCCACAAGCGCAGTGATAAGAATCGTTAGACTTCACAAAAAATGCATATTGCAAATCGTAAAAGAGATTTTCAAAAATTGAGACCACAACTAAACTTGTTACTAATAGAGCATTATTTGCATTTGCATATCGAAGATGGCCACAAAAATGGAAAAAAATGAATGAGTTGTTCTTAAGTAAACCATTTAATGCTCACTTCTATATGTGCAAAGTAACTCAATAGAAAAGTTATAGATACAAGTCTAAGCCAAAGTAGGATGGCTATTCCTTTACGTTGCGATAGATCCCTTGTAGAAAAGTGCTATACGCGTAGGCTCCGATTTTTTTTCACTTGTATCTCTGTTATAAATATGTATATATATATATATATATCTATACATATTTTTCTCTTTCATAGCACTTTAAATTTCTGTTTAGGCCTGTTCTATTGGTTATTGGAAAGCCGCATTTTTGGCAGAAATCAATTTGGGGATAAAAGATGGATCCACGAGCACTGCTCGGAGCTGGCCGAATTATTATGTTTGGAATGTATTGTATACAATGCTTATTTAGCCATAATGTCACCTGATTATATTACAAATCATATTTATATATTTTGCAATTTGATAGGTTTGTAAAAAATTGGGAGAAAGTGACCTATACTTCTATCATCAAATGACTCTCTGGCAAAAATTTCTAACCATATAGCGCTTAACCAAGAATGATAAGCGCCAACTAATTATTTCTGGCAGCAAATTAGAATTTTTTTCATAAGAATTCTTTCATAAGAAAGAAGAAAGTTGTCAAATTTTTTTAACGTATAAAACATGGAAAAAAACTTGCATTTACCGGCATTTCTGCTTATACAAGGACACGATTAGATATCATTTTCATAAGTTGCATTCCTTCGCCTAAGAAAAAACTTTAAAAGATTCATCTTGTAAATTAGATTATTCCAACAGAAATAAAGGGAATATCCAAAATTTTTTTCATCTTCTACAGCTGATTTTAAATCCTTGATCGTATTTTGTAATGAATCCATAAGATCTTGTTTTAGGTACTTACATTTTAATTTACATACTGTTTTCTTGCATATTTTATTTTACCTATTACTAGCCGTGAATTGTCTGCCCCTGGTCCTTTCTTAACCAGTTTCTTGATTATTTTGTTCATTCCTTAGAAGAAACTGAACGTTGCAAAGCAAAATAGAGATTTTCTTCGCAATATATCAATTTATCAACAATAGAAATGAATTTACTAATATATTCATTGTTTTATCTGAAACAAAAGATTTAAATGACTGTTCAAAACTGAAGATTGACCTGCATTTATTGCTATTTTCAGTGAAATCATTCATTTACGTAAAAAATTTTGTTTTTATATGCACAAAAATGGCCGAACAACTTAATTAACATAAATCAGACAATATAAGTTTTCACATAGTTTTCTTTAAAATTTTTTTTCTAAAGATACATGGAAACTATTATATATCGAATTTTTTTCCTGAAATTAAAGGTTACCATTCTCTTTAACATTGGATTCTTGTTTATTATTAATTGGTAATTCTCTGATATTAATGGCCGCAAGAACTTTGATGAACCTACGAAATTATTGAAAAAAAAAGATTTGAAAAAGAAATTTAAAAAATACGAAGTGATGCTGAAATTTTCTCAAATCTTTTTCATCATTACAACTTTCGACATGAATTTATACGGGTCACTATTCTTCCTGTAATTTTGCTTGCGCATTCTTGAAAATTCCTTACTAATCGCACCTTCTTTCGTTGTTTTAAATGAACAAAGATTAGTTAATAAGGAAATTAGGAAAATGCATCCTTTACGAAATGTTTTACGAAAGTCGGTCAGGTATCAAACAATTTATCTCGTCCATAATGAGTGCGAAAATTGAGCGAACAGTACTTATCTGACCTGGAGAAAAGTATCCATGCCACCTTATTCTTCATTTCATTTTATTGCCGTAGAAAGGGTTTCCATTTCCCCATTCATAATCATTAGATTTGGATTTATTTGTGAATTTTTAAAAAATTAATACTCTAAATATTTTTTGATGTCTTAAAATCGCGATTTTTCTTTTGTACTGGCTTAATTCCCAATGTTTATAAGATTTATTAGATTTTTCAGGATGATATTATTAATAATATATTTCACGTTGCTCTTCATAACTCGATCCCATGCGTCATTTTGCGGGAATGCTGGAGTTCCATTTAGTTTAGAAGTTCTACCATCAGGTGCATTTTTTTAAAATTTCGAGTTTGAAAAAACAATAAATGTGGAATTATTTCAAAGTGAATTGTATAATGTAAAGAAAGAAAATTGAAGCCAAAGACAACTACAACTTTTTTCTTTGAGAAATTAAACTGTTCTAGTGAAAATATTTTTGTTTTAACTTGTTCTGCACTATTTAAAATTGTATAATTTTCTAAATATTTAAAAAATATTAAAACCGTTTAATTTGAAAATCAGTCCAATTCTCGTTAATGTTTCAATCAAAGGCACCTCTTACTCCCCTTACTTTTAATAATCAATTACATAAATATTTCTTAGGTGCGCCAGTGCTTGGTTGCGCTCAACCCAGCTGCGTAGCAACACCTGATAACTTTAAAGAAGATAGCAATTTTTCGGAAGATGTGGAAGGGCAAAGAGATGGATTTTTTAGAGAAGGAGACAGAAATCTTAAAAGATTTCGACCTAAAGAATCTCAGAAATTAGTTGCTGTAAGTTTTGTTATTTTTTTTCGTTTTCTAGAATGAGAAATTTTTAGAGAAACATCAGTGGAATAAATGAAATCACAGGAATTTTTTGAATTTTTTTATAAACCGTTTCAAAAATTATTATGAAATTATTATGTCTATCAGTAAATTAGCTTTATTTCTGTTATTAAAACCTTCGACAATTCTAATTTCTAAGTGAATATTGAAAATATTTTAAATAGTGTGGTTTAGAAGTTGAAAATATTTATTTTTTCATGAAATGTGAATGGCATGAAAGAATTTATCCTTCCTTCAGGGTTTTCACATTCTTTTCATCCTTACATCAATATTTCAGGAATTTCGCTAATAGGAATTAAGGAATTTTTGAAATTTGTTGCATGTTAATATTATATTTTTATATAAATGGCGTAATCAAAAATCATTTCCGTATTTTGTCATGCTCGATAAATTTTGCAATAACTAGAAATAATGAAGTGTTAGCCCCTGGGCAACTGGATGTTATTTAAAATTTAAAAAAAACTAAAAAAGTTAAAAAGAAATTAAAAATTTAAAAAAAACTTGCAAATTAGCTTACAAATACTTTGATGCTTTAAAAGATTTATAAATGTTGATTCGAATTTCCTTTTCTGTTAATTTTTACATGGTTACAAAGGTCAGAGAAATTATGCTCTTGCAAATCGCACCATTAGTACGCTTAGAAATTTTTGCCAAAGACTTACTTGGCGATGGAAATACAGGCGAGCATTACCCATATTTTTTTTCTCAATACAATAATCTGAGCCACTATCTACTCGATAATCCGAAATGCTAAAATGTAAAACCGTAAATAGCACAAAAAGTACTAACAAATAAATGTAAATTGCAAAGGTGATTTTTATCATATAAATTGCAAAGATGATTTTTATCATATAATAACAGCTTCAGAATTTTGCAATTTTATTCCTATAAAATTGTAATCCCTAAATTTTTAGCTAAGATTTTTCCATGATCTGACTTATCTTCTACATTTCTTAATTTGATATAATTTTAGTGTAAATAAGTTGAACCAATTTTTTTGCAAAGTACGAGAGTTAAGTCGTTTTTTTGTTAAAAGATGCTATTGTAAAATTGCTTTTGCAATGATTTTGAGACTACCTTAGTTTAATAGTGCTCATGAATTGTTCGTCCAATTTATCAACCATTAGCGTTCATGTTTTTATAGAATTGCTCTGGGAAATTCGCTGAACTATCCTGTCCACGAAAAGATCAGTGGGTCGGTGGTATCGAATACATTGATCATCCGCGTCAACCGTATGTTTGACCTATTAAAAACAGTATCAATCTATTTGCCTGTACCAAATAATACTAACAGATAATAATCAATGAATTCCAGGATTTCTTTAATGTTCACTTGGTGAAAACTTATTTAATTCCATATATTCATAGATTGATATTGCAATGTTGCACATTTTCTGGTTTGCGATTTTCGCAAGAAGTTGGGGTTAGTAATGTTGGCATTGGTGAAGCTATAACCGGTGGTGAAGTTATACGTGATGGGCGCCAAATAAGTTTTGATGTGATCGCTAATGTACGTAAAGTGGTCGATATAAATACACATGCGTTAGTTTTTTGGCACAATACGATTATTTAATATCCTGAATCAATGAGAATTGTCCTCGCCTAAAACATTACTGAGTCCAGTTATTCACTGATCACTTAGACTTAGGTAAATTTTATTTCTCCTCGCACTTGTTACACTTAAAAGTAAGAAGTTTTCTCAGATTTTACTTCGCATTAAATCAAAAAGTTATTTAGAATGTAATAATAGATTAATTATTTGATATGAAAATCCATCATATCGATGAGTTTGATTAACCAATGAGCGAAAAACAGCGTTGTATATTGCAGAATTTCATATGAAGTAACTGTGCGGCGAATGAATTGTTTACCTGATCCACCGGAGCCTGAAGTATTATGTAGGACTACGTATTTCTTCATTTATTTTTTGAACTCAATATAGAATAAATAAATATTTATCAGCCACTAAAAATTCGTCTCCTTCCCACCTAGATTAAATGAATAAATTTTTGTTTGGTCACTCAATATAGATAATACCCGATGTTGCCATATAAAATTTTTCAGAACTAGGATTCAGAAAAAATTTTACGATTATAGAGAGCCAAATTAAAGACAAAATTTTGAGCATCTTGATAATTTTCTCGAATCTAGCTTAACTAAACGAAACAATCCGAACTCCGAAACTAATCTTCCAATTGTTTTTTTCATCAGCTGATAAAGATGTGTCGGATGAAGTGGTTAAAGTTTTAACAAAAGCAAGTAATGATGGTGCAGTGCCTTTAGCAAGCAACGTTAACAATAAAAAGGCTAAAAACAGAAATGATAATGAGAAAGCATTTGCCGCGCATCTGAAAGAATTCTCCAAAAAGTACGTCTTTGCTTTATTAATTATCGCTTAATAATATTTTTTACTTTCTATTTCTAGAGATCCCAAATCCTCAAAACTAGCCATATCTGACGAAGAAGAAAGGCAATCGATTTCGCATGCAGGATGGACTTCAAATATGCCAACAGAACCGAATTCAAATACCGGAGATCCATCTTCGCCAGGAGGAGATAAATTTTATGGATCAAAACAACCTTTTTCTATAAATATAAGAAATTATGAACAACAACAAACTTATAGTTCTGACGGCAATGACCAAATTACTCAACAGTCATATCCAAATTATCAAGCCCAATCTTATCAACGATATGCTCCAGCACTTGTGCAAAACATAGCGCCTCAAAATTTCAATAACAATCAATACCCTCCTCAAACTCCGCAATATAACCATCCGCACCAGGCTCAGCCATACAATGGAGCGCAACTGACTCAACCATTCAGTCAGCCACAACAAGCTCAGGTGCACAAAGAACCAAATTGCGCAGTTTGCCAAGGAAAGAATTATGAACAAGGGCAAAGCCAATTCTGCGAAACTTATTGCCGAGGATATATTTATGGGTTCACTCCTTTGCCAACCTTACCACCATTACCACATCACAGCTTTGTATTTCCTCCACATACTTTCCCGACCCTACCACCACATACATTTCCTACATTACCTCCGCACACATTTCCAACATTATCACCACATACTTTCCCTACTTTTCCTCCTCATTCTTTGCCTACTTTGCCTCCTCATTCTTTGCCTACTTTGCCACCACATACCTTCCCCACTATACCACACACTTTTCCACAATTGTCGCATCATTTTGCCCGAGGCGGAGGTTGCCAACAAGGCTGTTCAATTGGTAGTTGTTCTTCAGGTTGTTTGCCTCCATTTTCAACATTACCTCCTCATACCATACCTCCATTGCCTCCACATCCATTTCATCAAGCCAATCCACCCCGCATTCATCCTGGTTATTCACATTTAGCTACTGCTCACGGTTCTCCTTTGCTCCAACCAAGTGGCATTAATGAAACAATTACTTTATTACCATTACTTTCATCTTCTTTGCCTTCTTATAGTTTCCCTACTCATACATTCCCAACATTACCTCCTCATATTTTATTCTCTGGATTTCCCACATTATCACCTTTCACAGCTGTAGCTGCCGTAAATGAGGAACGACCAGCAACTATAGATAACCCAGTCACTACTTCTCCCACACCAGTTGCAATTACTTTACCGCCTTTTCCATCATTTGAGGATATTATGAAAATGTTGGGATTGCGTCCTTACACTTCACCGCATCATTCAGCTTCAATGACACGATATGAATCGCCATCTTATTTCCCTTATGCTCCACACCAACATGAAAATCTACAAAACGCAGTAATTCAACAAAATGAACAATACCAGTTTGTTAGGCCGTGACAAAATTTTAGGTAAAAATTTTCTATTGAATGCTCAAAATCATAACTTTTTTAAATTAATCAATTCATACTGAATTAAGATTACGCAATTTTTTGATAACTTTATATACTTTATATATGTTTAAAATGTTTATATGTTTGAAATGCTTTCCAGGCTTCGAGTTTGCGTCTATTTGGCAAATTTTTTAGGAAGAAAATTGGAAGTGATCAGCATCAAAAATATTATTTACTTATTTTAAATAGATTTTATATATATTATATACAGATAGATAGATTTTATATTTAAATAGTTTAGTGTGTTTAATATTTTTCATCAAAAAAATTTGCGGAGAATTTTTTATGTAAAGTGAAAGACTTAAAAAATCTGTAGATACGACAACCTATTATGATAATTTACGAAAAATTTGCTTCTCATTATTATAAGTTATAAGTGGCTACGAAATGGATGTTTGTCAATGTTATGGTCAAATTTCTGGCAAAATATGGAAACTGTAAAATTTTGCTTTGTTATTTTATGGCTTCATATTGTTATAGCTTCTTGAAATACGATCGTAAAGTGTATCATGCAACTTTTTTTTAGGAAATTGTTTTCTTTATATTACGACTAAACGCATAAAAAGATAAAAAAATTCTAGAAATTAAATGTCCTTGCAATAATGTAAATCAAATGAAATAATAGAGCTCAATGTGATATCGTTGCAAACTGCAAAAGACTATTTTTACAAAATTACTTAAAATTTAGCCAAAAGTCTGATAAGAATGTTGTTCGCGCTCGACGAGTATGGGGTTTTTGTAAGACAATAAGAATAAATCCTGTTAATTGATTGCAGAATTAAAAAGTTCTTTTAGAAGGAAAATGCAAGTGATTGTTGTTTCCAATTAAATAAACTGGATTATTACGATGCCAATCCCATCTTTTTATTCTCAGTAAAGCACTTGATTTATCTCAACAACGGATTAGAACAAAAAAATTACATTTGCTCCGAGTTTTGCCTACATGATTCATCTAAGCTTCAATATTAATCATTGATCGCCTATATTAGAAGCAACGGTTATCACTAACCATACCACTTGAATAAAAACGAAAATGAAAAAAAGTTTTCCAAAATTCACTCTCAATCTTCCATCTTCTAAAAACATCGACGGTTTCTGGTTAGTTTTGTTGAGAATAAATTTCTTTCGTCGGCGAGGAGAAGAGCACACAAGTGATTCGCCGAAATCTAGATTTAATGTGAGGGTTACATTGGGTTACATTGGACAACATTGCTTAAATTAGCACTGAGGTTTGACCATCATTAGTGGAAGCAACCCCACTCTATCTTCCCGAGGCTTGCCTCTAGTTCTGCCCTGAAATAATTTTCCATCATTTATCCTTCGTTCAGTTTACAATTATATATTTCTTAAAAAAAATAGAAATTTCTTAAAAAAAATTCAAAAAAATAGCCTTTTTTTAAATGATTACTTTGTAGCTGAGATAGTTTTCGAAGGTAAATCAATAACTTCATAAAGCGTCCATAGCAGTAATTTGAGGAATTTGAAAAATGTATCTTTAAAATATGTATATCTTTTTTTACTTAGTAGATTCAACCGGCATTTTTACAGTTTGCTTATTCACAACTGAACAGAACATTAGATGATTTCATTAATTTTGCTCCATTTTTCAGTTTTTAAGATTTGCCTAAGATTTGTCTCACTTTTTTAAATATTTTCTGCTTATTAAATTTTTTGGCGTTCAGAAATAAGTTTAAAAAAATAAACAGTTAACCGTAACTTTTACCAGGTTAATTTCCAGTAAGGAAAGAAGTGGATTTACCCCAGCACCACTCAGATTTTTTGGTGACAGGTTTACTCGTGAGAAGCGCGATCTGAACATTATTCCCCAAGACGATAGTCTGAGCAGCAGCCATTCGGCTATGTGCTTCTTCAGAGTAATCTGTAGTCCATCAATAATGAAAAAAATGCCTTACTTCAGTTTCAATTAATGTAACGACAGTTTTTCAAGACGATAGTTTTTTACTTCAATTTTTTGTTATTATTTTTCTACAAGAAAAAAAAAGGTTTTCATTCGGTGCATTTTGCCGATACATTTTTCGATATTTCTCTTATTGTGTTTGTTTTGATTTTTAGCCCGGAATCTTCCACTTTGCTTCAAAATTCTTTTTTTTTAGATCGCACTGGTAACAAGAGACTCCTTGAAATTTAATGCTGTAGCTTTCTCATGATATTCTCTTTAAAATATTCAATAAATCAACTATTAAGAAACAGTTCCAACAAATTTCCACCGATCAACGATTTTCCTAAGGTCTCAAAGACCTGAGATTTGAGGTCCTTAAATAAGATGTTTCTGCACTTGTTAAATGTGAGTGTGGATCTCTGATAATTATCCTATCCGGAACCTGAATTCGTTGGGTTCGAAAATCAACAAGTAATAGACAATGTCGGATAAAGCACAATAATCGATAAGCATAGCATATATAGTTGTATAATTTCATAATTTTTTTGGTACCCAAAAGCCATTCAGTAAGAAATAGATGGCAATAATCTAAATATAATAAAATATCTGCTGTTTTTCTAATTAACAAGCAATTAAGGATCTCATTATGTTGATTAAAAGCAATAAGTAGTAAGAAATAATTTTAAAATAGCGATTTAGGAAATTTTATAATCATTAGTTAAAAAGGAGGAAATCTGTGATTAAAAATCTGGATGATGCCTACGTTTAATCGAAAAACAGAGCAATTGTTGCTGACAATATAGTCTCGGGCTTTTAAGCTCGTAAGCTTGCTTCGTAAGTTTGAAAGGAGGGAATGTGTTATTAAAAAATCTGGTGATGCCGGGGCTTAATCGGAAATCAGGATTTCCGAGGTGATGCAGGGATTCATCTGCACTTCTATTTCTAAATGATTCACGGCAAAATTTCTCAAAGAATTAGTGGGCTACCTAACCAGAAATTATGAAAGTTAACTTACTTTCACGAATTTTCGTTCTAACCAGTTTCTTTTTGAGTCAAATTATTACACCTTTTGCATTTTTTAATGTTATTGTTATTTTTCGCTTAAAATTACTTTTTATTTCATTTAGAATTTTTCTATGGAAATTTTCATTTTCTAATATTTCATTAAAATAGCGTTGAAAATGTGCGATGGCGTTATCCTTGATTATTACAAATATTGTCATCATTATCATCATCTTCTAACAACTCTCGGGTTAGCCTGGCTCCACGGACTACAAGGGTAAGCTCGTAAGCTTGCTTCCGAAAGGAGGGAATGTGTTATTAAAAAATCTGGTGATGCCGGGGCTTAATCCAAGTTCTGCGGTCTGACGCCATCATTATTACAGATGTCGTCATCAATAATTTAAAGCTCTAAATTCTGATAATTCGCCCTACCACTGCTTACTGCTCTATCTGCCTCCATTGACCATAAAGCTGAGAAGCTTATCTCTCGGTGAATCTGATGTATCTAAAAGCAGGAAAAACTAACTCATCGTCTAAGCTTGCCACTATTTATCCAAAATTATTCCTACAATTTCAGACGACTGGTTTCAAATAAATTTCCTCATAAAAAGTCAATAAAAAAAATTTATAAAAAGGTTCTCCAATTTTCCATTAATATAATATTTGCTCAATTTAATTGTCGATGAACTACAATATTTTTGTGTTACATTTCGCGCTATTCGACTAGAATCACTTCACTTATGCAATTTTTCTTTGTTCGAGCGAATAATTGTATTCTCGAACGGCCATTAAAAATAGAAATATATCTATGTTATAACCGCAATATGCCTTTATAAAATGTATTAACTGATATTCAATAGCTATCGGCACCGTTACAATTTTTAATTGAATAGATTGCCTTCATCTTAACCATAAAATATTTTATTTTATTTTCTGAATGTGGCGCTTATATTTTTATTTGTGTGAAATGATTTGTGGGAAATTATTCGTAATATAAGTGATGAATTTTCATGACTTTTATTTATAAATATTCGCATTTTAAATATATTCACTAATTCATGTATCATAGTTTTTTTTCAAAAAACTATTGTTAAAACATAAATTGTTTAGGAAAATTGAAAAAATTTCGCTGAAAATTGTCTATTTCTTATATTCCTTATATCTCGTTTTTTCTATTTATACTAAAAAAAGAAAATTTTTGAATGATTTAACTGGGGAGGATTTTTGGATAAGGCGACTTTTCTTTTTTTTGACAGTAGTAAAATTTCAAATATAGATGGGTCGCAAGCATGAGCCATTTTTTTAAAAATTTTTGCACTTCATGGACTATTTCAAAACTTATTTTAAAAAAGCAAAACACAACAAAAAAAAACAAATATGTAATCTTTTCCATAGGAAAAAAACTTAAAATTTTCAACTCATTTGAATGAAAATCAAAAAAAAAGATTAAATTAGTATGAAAGATGTTAGAAGAAAATATTAATTGGAAAGTAACTAGCATAGATTAACTCAAACCTTAGGTTAGATTGAATACAATTGCATAAAAGTTTTCAAAATAATTGCATTAACTGATATTATCAACCTTTAATAACCGCGAAATTGATAATGTCAGAATCGGGTTGTCAGTTTCATTCTGACAATATTTATCATCGTTTTTAAAAATTTGGAACGGAGACTTGTCAAATTTTTTCTAAAGATTTCTGTGAACATCCAAAAAAAACTTAGGAATTGACCAATTAAAAATATTTTGGTTCAGAAATGGCGTAACAATATTCCCAAAAGATTAGATAAATATTCGGCAAAACCGGTGTTCATAAAAGCGTCTGAAGAGTATGATTTTCGCGCAAGAACATACCGATCTTTTTTTTTTAACGTTTCTGCGTTTTGCTCATCTTAAAGCGCAAATTTCGCCCTTTTCTAACTAATGAACTTTTGTCAAAATTAAATTTTCCTAAACACTGTTAATTCAAAAAATTATTTACAGCATCGAGGATTAAGAGCTTAAGGAAAAGCGCTAAAAATCCAATAAAATCTCTCGAAATGAT